TCTCTCTTCTCTTGTTTTTTCTCTTTTTCTCTCTTTATATATATATATCTATTTGTTTTTCTCTCTCTCTCTCTCTTTCTCTCTTGCTTTTCTCTCTTTTTTTCTATTTTTATTTCGACGTCTACTTCTAAGTGGCTACCACCATAGTAGCATTTGAGAAATTCATTTAACAAACGTCTTAGACAAATTTATAGTTTTCGAAAAATACATCGAGGATATCCACAAGATATATCCAAACGACGATCATTCTCTTACTACCTCTCCCACTTTTTCTCTCTCTCTCTCTCTCTCTCTTTTTTTCTTTCTCTTATATTTCTATTTATTTGCGTTCATCTCTTAGAAATATTCTCAAAAATGTTTTAACGATATTCTCGTTCGTCATTTTTTTTTTAATATTATACTAATTTATTAAGATACATAATTATTCACGAAAAAAAAGAAAAACGAAAAGAAAGATGGCCAATCTCAAACATGGCCGATCGAAATGTCATCGAAATATTATAATTCTTTTTCCATATATATATATTTTTTTTGTATTTAATTATTAAATTTTATAATAATTCGTCGAGGATAATTTTATTAATTTTTTTTTCTTTTTTATTTTTACTTTTTTATTTTTATGGAGAACACACGACGAGCATTCTTCACAGTATATTTCGAAAATAGCAGACGATCGTTTCCAATATGGCCGATTCAAATATGTCCGATTTATCGAAATATTATTATTTCATTCTCTTAGATTTAATTAGTTATTTATTTATTTTTTATATTAATTTATCGAGGATAATATTATTCACGATAAAGAACACACGACGAGTTTTCTTCTCACGTATTTTAGAATTATGTACATGCATTTATTATATTTCAAGGAAACATGGCGGATACCATATAAACATGCATACATACATACATACATACATACCAACATACAACATGCATACATACGTACATACATTACTTTTTCTTTCTTTGATTTTTTTTTGTTTCTTTTACTTTTTTTTTTTTTTTCTTTTTCTTTTTCTTTTCAACGTACGAGAAGAATTTCAGAGATGGAGACATACGACGAACATTATTACGATCGTTCTACCTTCCATCCCTTTTCTTTTGTTTATTAGATATTTCGTTTTCTCTCTCTCTCTCTCTCTCTATCTCTCTCTTATATTTGTATCATTGATACCTCTTGCAAAATTAATATGCTAAATAATCCTATCGATATTAGTTATACTTATCGCTCTAAGTAGGACGAGTTTCGTTTAAAACATTAAAAAAAAGAAGTGAGGAAAAGAGGAATCAAAAAAAAAAAAAACAAGAGAAGAAAGAGAAAAGAAAAAGAGAGAAAAAGAAGAAGGAGACGATGAAAAGAAGTGACGATGATGAGGAAAGAAAGAGAGGAAGAAGAAAAAAAAAGAAAGAGGTTGCCCCTTCCAGTTCTCAAGAGTGAAACGAATCGTGGTAAAGGGACACATAGGGTGGGGTAAGAGGTGTGCAAGTGTTAGTATGTATGAGTATATGTATGTCTATGTGTATAGGTAGGGTGGATTTTGTGTCAGTGTGTGTTGTGCGTGTCAAACGAAAATCCGTTGTAAATGGACTCAACGAAATCCATTCATTTGAAACATCGGAATAAACATGTGGCGCTTAAGTGTGTACATTGATCGAGACTCGAATTAACTCGAGACGGTGTTTAGCGAGTAGGCGTTAAATTTATGAATCATGAAAATAAAGCAATATCTGATGAGGGGGATTTAATGATTCGTTAATGATTCTTAAATATACGTTTTTATACAAATACGTACGTACGAAACGCGCGCACACACACACACACACACACACACACACACACACAGAGACACACACATACATAGGTACATGCACGACGCACACGCGCGTGCACACACACACACACACACAGAGGACAGAGATACACATATACAGAGAGATATAAAGGTGTATAGATGCGCGTATCGAGTATACGATATAAACTCAAGGAAGATAATATTCCAGCTTTGATCATGCATTTAAATTCGCCGTGGTATCTTTCGAATGGCGCCGTTTACAGTGAAACGTGTATATTTTCCTGTTATCTTGGTAAATGGCATGCCGCTTTTACATAGAAATAGGTGTTACGTTTCGACGACAAAATCTAAAGTGTAGGATAGAGATAGAGATAGAAAGAGAGAGAGAGATAGAGAGAGAGAGAGAGAGAGAGAGAGAGAGAGAAAGATAGAGATAGATAGAGAGAGAGAGAAAGAGGAAGAGGATTTGAGGATAATTTCGAGATAAAAAGATAGGGAAGGAGAAAGAGAGAGAAAGACAGACATATAGAGATAGATAGTGTGAGAGTGAGAGAGTGAGATATATATATATATATAGAGAGAGAGAAACGTCCCCTCTTGCCTTCGAACGTTAATGGGATCATGTAACAAAGTTCAAAGTTCAAAACCGGAAGTAAATCGAAAAAAGATATGCGGATCCTAATATATGTACATGCACACGTTGC